TATTTTTTAATATTATAATCAAATAAACAAATTGAAAGTGTAATCTAATGATATAATTTTTGAAAATTGTTGGCAACAAAAATATCTTTGACTTATTGTTTAAATTATTTTTTTGAAGTTTTAGTTTATTTAATTAATATATATATATATAGTATCAATAAAATAATAAATAATATTATGACAATTTAAAAAATAATCACTATCACAAATGATAATTTACTTTTTATAAAATTTATATAAAAACTGTTTACTGTATGATTAGAACTTTAAATTTCAATTCGACATAAATTTTTTATGAAAGATATGTTTATTTTTGTTGAAAAATGATTTATACATTTTTGAATAAGTGTTATATTATTGAAACGTTTGTGAAGTCATAAAAAAGTCGATTCCATTTAGAAATTGCTTTCAAAATGATTGCTTTAATTTCATCCATCCATTCGTTATTTTTAAAAATTATTTAAAATGTTGCCAAATATTAAATATGATATCTTATATACCTTATAATGAATACATTTAGCTATTTAAACAGTATAACAAAATAAATGTTATTACTAACATTTTTATTGTGTCTATAACACAAACAATAAATAAATGCTTAAATATTTTCAAACAAACTTTGAAAAAAGTATATTTTCTGGAATCTATACGAGTGTTTGTGTGTCTCTATCTATAGTATGCTTTTTTGTGAATCTCGAAATTCTGACTTTAGATTCGGTTAGAACATCGAGAATAAGGTATAGAGGAGTCAATATAAAAAAATAATCTCTTCATGAATATCGACAAAATGTACAYAAAATGTTAACATTTTGACTATTAATTCATATAAAGCTTTCAAATGTAGAATAGAATTGTCTTAATAAGTGTTGTTTAATGTTGCCGTTAATATAGTCAAAATGGCCGACAAAGTTATTTTTAAATATTTTGAAAGGAGTTAAATTAGAAATAATGATGTATAGTATAAGATAAATATAATATAACCCATAATAACTAAATTATTTTATCAAATTATTATTTTACAACTCATATTGACTAATGATTAACAGCAATGAATATTTTGGTTATAATACGGTATGACTCATAAGAAGTAATTTATGTCATCAAAGTTTGTTTCTGGCAATGCTATATAGCATACTCACTGTATTATTATTATTAATAAAAAATACTATTGTTTTTATAAAATTATAACATTTAATATGATTAAAAGTTCAATTTTTATTATAAATATATTTTATTTACTAAAATAAACTACAATTTATTAAATAACACAACTATTATATTTTCTAAGCAAAAAATATATATTTATAAGAAAAGCTGTTCACTGTATTAATATTTTCACTGAACATTGTATTGGTTTAGATATCACTTCAAATACCACACACATTACCAATAATTAATTATACTATAAATACAATATATATTGTATTTTTATTTCATTTATTTCTATATGTGGTCACAGATAACACAGTGATTGATAAACAGCAACTCTTGAGTATATTTATTAAATAAACTGAAGAGTTATATTATATCCTAATATTAAGTGTCAAAACCTTATTGAAATGACTGACAATTTAAGAGTAGTTTTATTCTTATATTATTATTATATAAATTGGATTTATTTCATATAATTTAATATATTTTTTCTAAAAATGTTGACAGTATTGCATAAGAAATATTTCAAAATTTAGTTATTATTTATTGTATATTTATATAAATATATTTGAATATAATTAAATACCTAATGAAAACGTAAAAATTATTATGATATAAATATTTTATTATAAAATTATATGTAATAATAATTTAGTCAATTTCTATCCATAAGTGTTACGTTAAAGTGATAACCATTACTCTAATATCATAAGTGGAAACACCTCTTATCTTAAGATTGTATGAAATGTGATAAACTGATGGCATAAATGTGTCAAATATTGTCCAAATAGTAAACCTTATAAAGACTATCACTTTTAATGTCATACCATTGATGTTTGAATGAATGTTTTCGTTAAATATTAGCGAAATCACTTGTATTAATACAATAGTAAACCAAATGTTGAAACACTAACTTTTATTATAATAATCAGCAATAATACCAAACCATTTGCAAACACAATCACACAATTGATGTCATTTGATAAATTCAAACCCTACTTATTATTAGTGTCTTGATTTCCAACTAAAAAAACTATTTTGTCGGTCTAACGCTTTTCATGAGTCTTAGTATGTCCACCAAACATGACCAGTGGACACTATTACCGAAATTTTATTATTACTATAAATAACTATTTCAATTATTTTGAAAAATATAACAATTAAACTGTAAAACATTATATGTAAAAATACAAAATATTAGTTACAAAAATTAAAAATTTAATAAATAACTATTTCAATAATTATTAATCAATACTTTACTTATATATATATACCATACTATTATATTTCATGAAAACAGATAATGCATATTGACATTTATAATATGCTTATTACACTTACTGTTATACTGTAATTATTTTTATAATTAAAATAAAATAAAGTAAAATAAATTTTAATTATTATTAAGTAAAATATTTCACTAATCTATTATTAAACTATAAACTTCTAAATTATTTTTCTATTAATTTCATTAAAATAAATAATTTTTTATAAATAGTTTACATTCACATGATATCAAATCAAGCGAAACATTTAACTTTTTTCTTAACATTTTATCGATCCCTTTGTAATGTTTGGTTAAAATTTTTATCTAATGAATAGTTGGCCTTATATTGGATTATATAAATTTTGTAGTTTTATATTATAAATAAATTATATATATATTACATTCGACTAGTTTTTAAACAATTTTATACATAATTTATAATATTTATGATAACCATAACAAATTGAATCGAAAGTTTAGTTATTTATAACAATAATAAAAAATTAGTAATATATGAATAATATGAAAAACATTTTAAGGCTTAATGTTTGATAAATTGGTTAAATTCAAAATGTGAATTAAAAAATATTTTTAAATAAAATTAATGATTACTATTAATAATACAATTTATAAAGATTTTCAATGAAAACATAAATGCATTGATTGTTAAATAAGTCTTTTATGTAAACATTTTCTGTTCATTTATTGGCATTATTCACACAATTTCATCATTTAATGTCTTTCAGAAAATTTAATAAATTTATGTTTTACAATACATTTGCATTTAAATCTATATGAATAGTGTTAAAAATCTATCCATTTTTTAGTTTTATTTGCATAAAAATTAGAGTAAATGCAATAAAAAAAATTGACAAATTAACAAATAATATCAAATTTTCTAAAATTAATAAAAACAAAATTAGTAATAAAACCAATTTCAATATTAAATAACTTAAAACAATATTGTTTTAGATTTGTTGTTTGAATAATAGCACTTATGTATCAGTAAGTGTACTTAATTTAGTTAATTTTTGATATAATTAACACTTCAGAAAAGTATTTACTAAAAATTCATTTTATAAATAAATGTATAATTAATTGTAATTAATTTAGGATTTATACTAAATGTTTAAAAAAATATTTGTATATTTACTATTAAAACACTAATTAAGTAAATTCTTTCAACTTAATTATTAAATGTGGTATTAAAGTCATTAAACATTTATACCGTATAATACTGTATATACCGGTACTGTACTGTAAATTCATAGCAAACAGTATATGTTTGATACCCGCCATCTCTCAACATTTAACTATAATATCTCATTACTTGTCTTTATTATACACTGTATATACTGTATACTTATAATTCAAAGCTATTTTAATAAATTTCATATTAATCTCGGTTTAATTAGACTTTTATAATGAGATCTTATGGCTTAATTAGTTTTTCTAATTAAATGAGATGAAACATAATGCTATTGTGTAATAAGTTTATAAATATTATATAATAAAAATATTTTGTATATTTTATATTTTTCTAATTTTCTAATTCATATAAAAAGTTTTGTAAAATATTATAGTTTGTTTACTGTAATAGGATAATGTAAATTTGTTATTATTTTAATTATATTTTGTTATGCAATAACAATGCAATTTCTTTTATTATTTATTAAATAATTAGAAATTTGTAAATTTTTGCAAATGACATAAAATATTAATATTCTATACATTTGTACGACATTTGCATTTCAATAAAAATATTTTCAATTTTAAATCATAACTTAATTTTATGCAAATAGCTGTTCATTCTTTCTTTATTAGTAAAACAAATAACAATAAATTATTTAATTTCAATTTAGTGTTTAATATATATATATATATATGTTTAAGAGATCAATTGTAATTTTTTGACATTTATATAACAATGCATATTATGAAAAAAGTAAAAATTAATAATAAATAAAACAAAAACATTTGCACAAATCATTGCGTTTATAATGTTTTGGTTGCTTTACATTGTGTGGCTTTTGTCATAAATTTTGGTGATTTTGGTTAAATGTCTATATCTTATATTATGGTTAACTACTGTATATTATACTCTTTCTATTATTGTTGTCTAAAAACAGTCTATAAATTCATTGAACAGACAATGAAATAACTAAAATATTAAGTGAGTGTGTATTATGTTGTATACTGTATACAGTATATGTCAGAGTAAGAGATTTACGAAATTGTTATTTACTTTTAAAAAAATTATATAATAGTATTATTAAGAGCAGTAAACTAAAGCAGAGTGTGTTTAGCATATATTTTATGACCATTTTTGCAGATTTTCTTTAGCTTTAAACTGAACTCTAGTTATTGATCGCATGAGAGACACATTTACGTAATATTGAAGACATGAGACTTCATATTTGTTTACACTTTACATACAAGTGTTGGCAATAAAATATAGAAGATTGAAATGATATGAAAATATTGGTATATATAATAAAAATTTATTTAAAAAAATAATGTCAATACTGAACTTGTATTTGTATGATACAACATAAACTATTTTGTATGACCAAAAAATTTAATGTCTATGCAAATACAGCGTATGCACCATAAAAAACAAGTGATAAATAATTTTTTCTATTCAAATATCTGCTTAAATATAAACTTATACTATATTTGACATTTCAAAGTACTCTCAAACAATACACTACAATACGTGCTCTTAGTCTATGTAAATGTCGGTTAAATCAAAGTATCATTATTTATGCGAATATTCTGTTGAAAAATTTTCGCTTTCTTTCAAAACAATTTTTCATTTATACTGTATATAAAATAACAGAATTTAATGGTTGACAGAAATGATATTTACCGGAATCTCTTATGATATATATATATATATAACACAATTTTAAATATTATAACATTATAGACAACTAATAAATTTAGTCAAAGATTAGAATAAAAATAGTTTTTCTCTTATATTACATAATTAATAATTCATATTTATCTGAAACTAATAATAGTTCAAAGTTTGAATGTTAAACTTAGACTATAATTATTAATATATTATATAAGATTGTTTCGTATTTTAATATATTTTTTATTATTTTTCATTTGTGAATATAAATTATAAAAAGATAATGATTTTAATGACTATTGGTTTGGGTGTGGGTTTATTTTACATATATATATATATATATATATATATATATACTGTATATATATTACTTCAACTATAAATTACCGTTTATTACAATTATTTATATAAAAATATATTTTATATAATATGCAGATAAAATCAATACTTCATTTCACATGTCTTTGAAACGATTACTAAACTATTTCAATATTTAAGTCTCGGATATCTCGTTAAAAAAAGATTTTTGTTGTTGATTGATAGCTAAATGATTCACATTTTATTATATTTATAATAACTATTTTTTATTATCTTATTTTTTAATAATTTCAAATCGGAAATTCTTAAATAATTATAAAAATATTAATTTTATTATTTCAACAAATTTGTCACTAATTAAAGATAAGTTAATTATAAGTTAATATTTAAAAACTCATTATTTTTTATGAAAACTTCTATTAATTTATCGATATTATCCTTTGAAATATAATGTTCTCTCATTTATTATTAGATTATTATTCTATAAATATTATATTATTAGTAAATATCTGTATAAATATGTTTCCCGGAAATATAAAACTAAAATCAAGTTTTAAAGTTATTTTTTATTACATATGTTTGCATATACTGTATTTAAATGTAAATGTGCAGTATTTGTGAATTAATAAAATATCAAAATAAACATTATACTAAATTATTTAAAGATAAAGTAAAAAATTACTGAATTTATTTGTAAAAAAATTAATTATTTTAAATTACTATTATCTCCTATAAATTTAATAACAAAATTGTGTAAATCAAGTCGTCACTGCTTGTCATGAATGTATTTAATTTTAATCAATTGATTAATTTATTAAAGAATAGTTTATTTTAATAAAATTGGTATTTTAAAAATTATTAAATTCAATACAATTTAAATAAAAGCTTTTTGAACTCATAAAATATAAATAAATTTCAATATAATATACACATACTCTACAAATGCTATCAGTGTTTTATACACAAAAAATCATTTATTAAAATAATGGCTACAAGTTATGCACACTTTAATAATATAAAGTATTAATAATTTAAGACAATATGCAAAATATATCTTTTTATTATAAACATTATGAAATTTTTGTTTTATACAGTATATAAATTTACAACATATATATCAGTGTTGAGCAAAAGGGGTAGGGGTATGTCAAAAATACCCCCATAGGACTAAAATTTTTGGATTGTATCCCAGACTTTTTGATCAAATCGATAAAATTGTCGATTAAAACGATGAGAAATGATTCTATATTTCAAATTTATAAAAATTAAAATTTTAGCTAATAATTGTTGATTAAATGTTTTTATGTTTTTATAACATATTTAAATTGAATTATTTAATAAAAATTAGTAAAATAGTTTAAATTACGGTTAAAATTTTCTCCCATTTATATGGAAATATTCAGGAATTTGGTAAACTTTTTTCTTGACCCCTGGATTTCGAAATTTTGAAAAATTGTTGTTTAAAAATGCAATAAAAATGTACACCCACTCTATACCCCCCCAAACCAAAACCTTGATTAACCCTGATATATATATATATACTGTATTAAATAAAAATTTATTCCAATATTTTATGAAATAATTTAAGTATATAATAATAAGATTCAACCTAAAAATTGCTATTTTCTTAAAAAGTTTTCAAAATACTACAATAAATGATAACATAATACCTTTGGACGTATTTTTATGCAAATAGAGATTTTTAAATTAATAAAACAATTGAATATACAGTATAATCAAAATTTTTAAATATTTAATATATATTTTTGCATAGACATTCAATTTAAAAAAATAAATTATTAAATATTGTATTAGTTATATAAAATGTTATTAAAGAGGATTATTCTGTTATAATACAATTTTTATTATGCTTAAAATAATTTATATATTTATTTAATTATATATTTATTAGAGATGTCTTCATCATTAATATTTAAATATACTATTAATACAAATCTATAAAAAAGTTTATTTTATTTTTACAGAAAGTGAACACTCAAAACGTAATACAAATATTGCAAATAAATCTAATTTAGTGAATGTCAGCGATGCCAGTTGTCAGGTATAAAATATAATTAATAGTTTTATAAATTAAAAATTATTGAAAAAATTTAAAATAAATTTTTAAAATTTAATTTAAATAATATTCAGATGTTATACATATATTTATTAATATTATATGATTTAATAGGCAAACATAGCTTATGAAGTGATAACGTATGACAGCGACGATGAAATGGTGAAATCGAGGCGCGGAATACCATTCGGTGGTCTTCGCAATAAAAAAGGACATCCAATATACTCGAGGGAAGACATACGCGAACAGTATTGCATCACAAGGAAGGAGTTGGATGTCTTGGAACAAAATCTTGGCAACTCTTCGGCCGCCCGACTCTTCGGATGTCTTTCAAGTAGAGATATGCCGGACAGTCAGTGCAACAAAAACTCATTTTTATTGCTCTCATGTGTTCACAAACGAAAAAATTCATCAAATTTGATGAAACACTCGGATTGTAACAAAAGGTAATTAATTAGATTGTCTTTACAAAACATTTTCTTATTATTATTACTTAGTTATATAAACATCACATCTAATGAATGATAAGATAGCATTAATTATGTGGTGTTTTCAAAATGTTAAACAATGATGTATTGATAGTATAGTATTGAATAACAATACAAGTTATAGACAGTAAAATGCTGAAAGAAAATACTGTATATTATATAATATATATACAGTACATAGTATTCATTATATTATGTATGACACGGAAGTGTCATTTAGGGACTAATCAACAACACATATGACTCAATACTTGAATGTTTGCAATGTTAACGAATATACCAAATCTTAATTGAGACCAAATAAGACCAAATAAGACCTTTATATAGCATTTATAACTAAAAATGATATTTTATTTATTGTTATATAAGTTTATGTCTTATATAGTATATGCCATAAAAACTAATGTGACTTTTGATGCAATAGTTTGCAGCACTTAAAGTCTGAAAGCATTGCTAATAAAAGTGAAGAAGAAGAAAGTGACGGAGGATTTCGGCAACACTACCGACCATATAGTGAGACACTATCGGGAAATAAGCAAAAATATAATCATTTCTCAAATGATTTAAGAGATAATAAGCAAATTTCAGCTCAAAATATCGGCGATGTTAACGATTCTGGCCTAAAATCTAACTACAGTCGATCTAAAGTAAGGTTACATCAATCATATAGTACCGGCTCTCAAGACACTAATAGATCATCAGTTAAGTCATCAATATATCCATCACAAGTAATGTCTTTATAAATCTTTTTTCATATATTTTTACCAAATATTTAAATTATGCGTCACTTTTGTAGACAATATTTTCAAAATTAAGTGACATTTAAATCGATGCCTAAATTTATTACTTATATACACAATAGTGTTATAAAATATATTTTGTTAAATAGGAAACGCCATATAACTCGTCCACAATGTCCCAAACGTCTCACAGCGCCGATGAGCTTAGCATTGACCATACGAGTGGTCAACAGCAGTGGTCATCTCAAGATCATAGCTCCAGAACAGGTGATGTGACGTATGACATATCATCCAAAAAACACGTGTCTTTTGATTCCGGAGATACATCTAAAGTGCGGAGAAGTGTTACTTTAGGTGCAAGTATTGCAGCCATTCCTGTCACCAGTATGTCTGGTGGTGTGAGACAGCATTTAGCTCGTAATGCAAGTCCGCCATCTATTTCGCTCACATCTGTGTCTTCCACAAGAAAAGATATGTCACCACCGGTTGCATCACAGGAACGACTTCTAGGTTTTTGCCATTTCTTGAACTATTAATCTAATAAATATTATTTGAAACAACAAAATCTGTTTGAATGACGGAAAGAAAGAAAGAGAGAGAGAGAGAGAAACTCCGCAAAAGTTCAACAAAAAGCTTAAATTCAATATTGATTTCTGTGTTGTATTCAATTTCATTAATAACTCTGTTTTCCTTTTAATTTTGTTTGATTTTATTATAGTCTCAAATATCACAAACTATTGTTTTCCAGACAATCATTGGCATAAATATCTCAGCAAAAGTGGTTTAGCTCTCAAATTTAGAGTCCCTTTAAAAGCAATATTGCATTAAATTTCTAGTTTTCTCTCCTCCTAATCATAAGTATTGATTGCGATGTTATTCAATGGCATTTACTTTATGTATATATTTATTGATTTTTTCTTATCTCTCTCTCTCTCTCTCTCTCTCTCTCTCTCTCTCTCTCTCTCTCTCTCTCTCTCTCTCTCTCTCTCTCTCTCTCTCTCTCTCTCTCTCTCTCTCTCATTCATTCACTTATTCACTCACTTTGTTTTCTTCCACTATTCTCTTGTTATTATAATTTTCTAAACATTTGATCCATTTTTGTGATTATGATTATCGACTATTTTCTTATGTATTTTGCAACCAAAATTTCAGATGCAGTTTTAAAATTTATTTGATTTAATTAATATATAATTATGAATTAAAATTAACAAATAAATTAGTTATATAATATATAAATAATTAATTATTAAAAACAAATATATGTATATACTGTATATAGTGTTACTTAATGTAACAGTGGTATAAAATGTAATTAAAAATAAATATATATTACTTAATAGGGACTAAATTATGTCAAAGTAGTGAAAAAAATGTTGTGAGCCGTCACCGATCGCTATCTCCGTCCCAATCATACACACCATCCCTGTCCACACCGTGTCGATTGGTTCGCCGTGTAATCATGAAAACACAGTCCACACAAACCGATGTGACTGGTCTGACAAAGAGTCGATCTTCGCATTCAATACCCGCCTATTTGACACTATCTCCACGACGTRCCAACAATCAACATAGACTTCAGAGACGAAGCTTTGACTTGAGAGTGCCCACAACACCCATCTCATTATGTGAATATCACCAGAAACTCATCCTAAGACAAGCAAACAGTTGGGCAGAGTGTGAGGCCGAAGCACTGGGATTGCCATTAATGAAGTCTCACTCAGACCACGGCTTTATTTCCGCCAATGAATTTAATGATGAGGTAATGCAAGTATTCATTGATGGTAACTATCAAACTGGACATTCTTCTGAATCTAAGTTTAGAGACATTCCTCCCTATTGTGATAACCATATTAACCAACAACCATACGAGCCTTTCCTTCAGACAGTAAAACTAAGTGTCAAATCCTACTCCAATGATGAGGTTTTTATACCTAAACGACAAAAAGATATTGAAGGAGAAGGTATTTATATTTTATTTATTTTGCAAAAATACAATAAATGTGTTATTCATACTTTCAAATCACGTTTTGCTGATAATCAGGCAATATATTAGACGGATGTCTTGTGAGACGCCATTCAGCCAATGCAGACTTGGCTGCAGAACCATTAGGTTGTGTTCCCATAGCATCGCCTCCACCGGGATTTGGTGATCCCATAGAAGTGTTTACTGAATCAGATGTTAATATTTCAAATGATAAAGAAGTTTCTAATATAGAACTATCACCTAAAAAATCAAACTCCGAGTCTAGTCATGCAATGATCACCGATGATGGCAGTGACTTAGTATCGTCGACCACTACAGATATGGATGACCTCCAGTCGAGTGCCAATAACTCAAAAGTAAATGAAATGTATTTTAATAATATTGTTTAATAAATTATATTTATCGTTAGATGACCACAAGTTCTCCAACTGTGGTATCAGAGCTTAATCCAGACGTGCCCTTAACACCACCATTAATGACAAGTGAAAATATAGATAATATACCAATGGATTCACCAATAAGTCGACTAAAAAAACAATTGATGGACACTTTATTATCACCGGAAAGTGAATCCTCCAGTTTCCACACTACGTCATCAACAAACAGTGCACCTGAAATGTCTTCAGACAAATCCGAAGAGGTTTTATGTGCTGAAGTTTGTGGCGAAAGTGAAATACAAGAATCTATAGATAAAACAGCGTCTCCTGAAAGTGATCAGCCATTGTCTCACGACTCAAGTTTTTCACCATTTGATATGAGCTCAACGCGAACTGTTGTTCAAAGAAAATCTGATCCAAACATCGATGACAATGAAGTGTTTTATCAACAGGAAGGAGTATGTTSTAATTTTTTGTGAATATTTATTATATAAATTAATTTATATTTTTATTTAGACAAAGACTAGATCTTTATCCGTACCAATCATTAAAAGGCCGACAAGTTTTCAGTCTAAACGACCATTACTTAGATCTGATGAGACGTTTGACGATAGGAAGTCTTCGTCATCATCTGAAGCCTCAATTCATATACAATCTCCTCATTCACCAGAATCTATAGCATCGACTCATTATAGCACTAATGTTGAAGACGTTGACTCAGAATTACAAGATTTGACTCCAATAGCTGAAGTCTGTTCATCTGATCCGTCAACAACTGTTGAACCCACGACTGTTGTTGAGTCTACTTCTCCAGCAATCAAACCTACAATTCCTCCAAAACCAAGTTATTTATGCAAACAAACTGTAGACACACTTCTAGATATTGAACTTGAAGTGACTTCAATTCAGTCAGATAAAGAAATTATTACTGAAGAACCTAATAATGAAGAACCAAATACCAATACTACTGATGATGATGTCGATGACGATTTCAAAAGTATTATACATAAAAAATTGCTTGACTTTAATTCAAAATCTGAAGAACTATCTAAATCAATAGTCTCTGAAAGTGAAGAAAACGTTGATAATAATGAGGAAAATGAAGATAATATATATTTTGGACCTATTTTGAGACGATCACTATCTGGAGAATTATCGACTGTCTCTGAAGTATCTGAAGAAATGAGTGCAACCGGATTTGGTCTGCAAAATACTATCTCTTCATATGAAAGGGAATCATTTGGACCGGTATTAACCTTATCAGCTGATGGCGTYTCATCAGAAAACATAGCCATACATTCTGGTGCAACGTCTCCCAGTTTGGCGGACAGCACCACATCCGGTAGTTTTATGATCGACGCCAGTGTTACCGAACCAACATCTGGTAGTGAATCCAATAGAGTCACTATTGGAAAAGCTGGTAGTCTTCCATGTATTCCCACACAAACCATGACTAATGTGACTAAAGTTGCATCAGAAGGAGGAGTGGGAGGTATTATTATTTTATATATTTAAAAAAATAATAATTTTAATTATTGTATAATTCTTTTGATATATTAGTCGATACAATACCTCGAAAAACCAAAACTGAATCTACAATTACAACTGACTTAGAGATCAACGAATCAACTCCTAAAAGATATGAACCGATTGTGGGTCAGCTCATAGATTTGACAACAGAGTCATCACAAGCCACTGAAAAAGATATTGAAAAATCTGAGTTTTCATTACAACATCAGAGCTCTCAAGACATCGATGAAGAGTCGCTATCTTTTGATGCACTCAATCATAGTTTCTCATTAAAAGATGGACACGAAGAACTGCAACAGATTCATATTGAAGAAGATATGCAAGAGATAGAAGTAGACAGTCAAGGATTAGCTCTTTTACAGGAGTTATCTACATCTGAAAGCACTACAACTCAGCATTTATCAGATATTAAAAAGAGTAGCATTCACTCAGATGATGGTATAATTGAAATAAATAGTAAAATACAATATATGTCAACAAATTTGTTTTATTTATACAGAGAAACAATTGTCAAAATCAATAAAACACAAGAAGAGAAGTCACAAAACTGTGTCCACAAATCAACGCAACTCTTCCAGTGAAAGTCATACACTGTTATCTCAGGAAGAACTCTATATAATGCAGAGGAGGGCCCGATCTTTAAGTAGAAGTCCTGAGAAAGGATTTGATTCAAAGTCGCCGACCGGTCATTATTTTCAGTCCTGTAGTCACCATCACTTCACATGCAGTCAATGTGGAGAGTCAGCAAACAAACACATTATGCCGTCAATACTCAAAAGGTCTAGACTAGAAAGGACTGGTATGCTATCGACAAATTTTTTTATTAATGTTATAAATAATTATATTATTTTAATGGTTGAAGGGATCCCCTATTTGTATCGAAAATCGATGACAATCGACGACATATATTTTAGCTCCGATGAAGATGAAGAAGACGCTGGCGTTCATACAGATAGCTATCGATCGGCGCTTTGGGTTTATATCGGACATAAGGAAGAGATTGCTGTCTGGGGTCACAGGAATCCACTTCATTCATGTGATGACAAATCATTGTCGAGATCAGAGTCTGATGAAAGTACTCTTTCGGAAAAGGGATTCAAAAAACATTACGAAGCCATTACACACCGTCTCATACATAGAAAGGCGTCCATCGAAATGTATAAACGAATTCTTAACAGAACTTTTGGTAAAAATATATTTTATTTGTATTTATATATTATATAATAACAACAAAACATTGAAAATAATTATTAATTGTTTAGCCATAGAAAAAACGCTAACTATAGTTAAAAGTAACGGAGAATTTGGATTTCGTATTCATGGCAGTAAACCAGTAGTTGTTTCGGCCATTGAAAAAGGTATTTAAATCAAAAATTACATATATATTTACTGTATTTAAATATAACTAAATATAAATATATATATATATATATAACGCTATTCAGGTACGCCCGCAGAAATTAATGGTCTAGAAGTGGGAGATATTATTGTGACAGTCAATGAATGTAATGTCTTAGAAGCCTCTCATTCAGATGTAGTCAAGTTAGCGCATACGGGTGTGTATAAAATTTTGTTACATTATTTGAAACTTAAAAACATTTTAATAATAAACAATATAACTATTATTTAAAGGATCGGACACTCTTAAGATTGAAGTTATCTGTACTTCAAAGTCAATTAAGAAGAATCAGCCTCCAGTAGAGCACGACATCATTATGAACGGCTATCTCTCGAGACTAACGGATAAATTAGCCGATAAAGAGAAGGTCGATCACAAAACAAAGTCTGATGCCAACAGTCAAAGCGATGGGACCAATAAATTTTGGCGAAGACGTTGGTTTGTCCTTAAATCAGACTATTGTTTGTATTGGTATAAAACTGCTAATGTAAGACATAAAATATATTTTAATTCAACTAATTTTTATAGAAACTAATAATATTTGTTTTATAATATGAATTGTTTAGAGTACTGAACCAATGGGTGCTATATCTCTTCAGGGCTATTGTGCCGGTGTTTATAATGAATCACTTTTTGGTCAATCATTTGTCTTTCGTCTGATACGATACGCGTCTTCCCATAAGTTTTTCGCTGCCAATGATAACGAAACTGTCGGACAATGGGTTTATGCTTTGAATCAGTCGGCGACTCATATTAATCAAGTAATGCTATTATTTTATATATCATATACGGTATAATATAGTATATTAAAAATATTACTTTATATAATATCATTAATTATTTATTTAACTTACATCAATATAACTTTTAATATCTCATAAATAATAGTTATTTTTATATTAATTCGTGACTAATAAAGTTTTTCAAGTCATCCAATATGTAAAATAATAATATAATACTCAATAAGAGTTATTAAATCAAATGTCATTGTTTAGATGGTTTAATGTTTAATATTTTGGTTTAATTTAATCTTTATATCATACATAAATTATTTATATAATATATTTGCAAAGTAGAGTACTGTATATCCTAAAATATATTTAACATTAATATTTAAATATTTATAATTATATAAAATACTGTATTTAGACATACAATACAATACTGTATAAAGCTTTGGGTATAATTATAATGTGAACTCATTTACTATCAAACAGATTGATCCATATATTGATTCAACTCTTCATAACATCCATAAGAATCCATTATCATTGAAGCATTTGGATTGTTACGGATATTTGAGTAAATTTAGTAAACGGAGGAAAGTGTGGCGACACCGGTATTTCGTACTAAAGGACGCCTGTCTTTACTTCTATGCCGACGCCAACTCTAACACAGCTTTAGGTAAATTATTTTCTAATAATTTTTGTTTTTCTATAAATCAATAAATTTTTATTTTTGTGTAAATTTGTGTCATATATTAATTGATTGAAAGAAAGAGTCTATGTATGTATGTTTGTTTGTGTATATCTTATATAAATTTATTATATATTATATAATATACATTATATATATATATATATATATATATATATATATAACTTAACTATGTCTACTAAAAATAGTTTTACTTGAAATATAGGTGTATTTTATTTACATGGTTATAAAGTACAGGCGTGTCCTATGATTGGTAAAAAACATACATTTGAAGTCATTCCTCCCGATCCTAAAATGAGATACATTTGGCTTCTGTCCGAATCGGACGCCGACAAGAAAAGGTGACCGCATTTCATATATATTATTATATTAACAAAATACCGGTATTTGCAAAGTACTGTATGAGTTATATATATAGAAAAACAAATATAAATTTGAGTAATAGTTGTATAATTATGGTTCACTGGATACCAACATAAAACAATTGCACGCATAGTTAATGTAAACATAACTTATCTAAAAAAACTGTGTGATGTCTAAAATAAATATAATAATTTAGCTTTTATAATATATATATATAATGATACTTTACATTAAATGTCATTAAACTCATTAAACGAAATAATGTTATTGATATTTTAATTGATCAAAATAAATTTTAAAACAAGTTTCATAATTTGCTTAATTTATCAATATATTTTACTTAATAAATTATATTAATTTACATTTATTTAAAATATATATTCAATTTAACAGATGGTTGGCAGCTCTGGAATATTCAATTGACAGATGGATAAAATTAAAATAGAAACTAAACGCTAATTTTCTAACAACTAATTTAATATTTTTAGTGATATTTATGAAAAAATTAATAAATTATATCTATTACCGTAATTTGTAATTTTTAATTAAATATACARTACAAGTATATATATATATTTGCAATTTATTTGGCATTTAATACTGTATTTAATTTAGTACATTCATCTATAATTAATGTATACTTGTTTTAGAAATGTATTAGTTAATTATAAAAATTTTTTACTTGATGTTATTATAATAAAAGTTATATTAAAATTAATTATTAAAAAATGTCCATGTTTATTTTGCTAGTCTTGTTAATACTGCTAATCCCTTTTCATGTACCGGTAATTAAATTATATTAATAATATTTAAAAATTTTATTGCTTTTTAAAATAAACAATTTTATGAAATATTACAAAGAATTACTTAAATTTAATATTACAAATAAATTCTATAAAAAATTCAATATTAATACAAAAATGTTTAAGAATAGTGTAAACCTTTGGCTTTATAAATAAATGTAATAATAGAGTAAACAATCGCTTTAATGATACCGTATTATTCAATATACAGCCCAATACAGTGCAAAAGTGTGTACACTAACAGTGCATTTACCGTATAAATGACAACATTTTAACACCTTATCACTGAAATTTAGTTATTGCTATTAATAATTAAGATCGTAATGTAAATTTTGTATATGAATTAATAAATAATAATTAATTATAATTAAGACAAAACAGTTTTCAGCTTATTTTAGTAACATTTGCGACAATTTATGTACAAATTATGAAACAGTGAAATAAAATTCAATCAATGTTTCCACAATTCATTATAAAGTTGTACAACTATAACAATACATAGTCTCGTATAACAACCAATTAATGATAATTTAAAATTATTGGTAATAACAATCAATTGCTGTCATTGTCAGGAAAGTCATATTTAATGTATTGGCGCTGTATTTCGTGGTATAATACGGTAAACATGGGATTAATACAAATTGTAAATTTTTTTATAAAACTGTTAAACAATTCAAAAGACAACAAGTATTGAGCGACTTCTTAAGTCAATAAGATTTAAATCAAATGATTTCAATTCTTGAAGCAAAGATTCTTCTCATAAAATTTGATAACCGTTTGCGGTATCTTTTGGTTGGCCTCTTTAGCGGCCACCAAATCGGCAGAATTAACGCCTTTCCATTTGATAAGAAACATGAGTTCTCCGTAAAGAGTGGTCGCACCGCATATGTAATCGGCTTCGAGTTGTCGATCAAAGCCTTTCAGCTTTGATTTGTCTATCACTTTATCTGGTATTTGGTCCATCTTTTCATCATTTGGGCAATTCTTCAATTTCCTATTTGTTTTATTGTGAGCTCTTTTAGTTGTCGTCACCGAATCGGAAGTGTTGCCATTCTTTTTGATGCCTTTTTTATTCATAATATTGTCTTTTGTGTTGCTTTTGGCTGATATATCACTCAACTTATGTGTGGAATCTTCTTTAGCGACACGAGTCGTGTTAGCGATAACTTTGTTATCATCGATGAGATAATGATTGGCAGTATTGTTATGACTGTCGGTTGTATTCTTCAGTTGTCTTTCAAATTGGTCGACAACTGAACTGCACTTCAGATTCTGCATTAGGTTTTCCTTCAGTTCCCATGTATTGTCTGTTTCATCGAAACCTTTCCATTTGACCCAATACTCCACTTTGCCGTTACTGTCAACTCGTTTGTCCACAATTTTGTCGATTTCAAAGTCATCTTCTTCGGCCATCGTAAACAATTGTCACAAACTATTTGGTCAAACAAATCAAATTGTCATCACATCATATCATAGCATAACTTTCAAATTATTACCGATTGATGTGTTTGTGTGTCCGACACGTGTGGCCACAAGTGATGTCCAAATCTTGTGGTCGACTATTATCTAAACAAACGACGAGTCAGTCATTCATTCAAAAGACGAGAAAAACAATGCTTTGAATCATTGATTTCATTGGTTTTCATTGTTTGCTATCTTATGGGTGGAGACTATCAGTACATACGTATAGATGACGTCAAACACATAACACTTATTGTCAGTCAATACATACATACAGTGACCCAAAGGTCCGCACTTTTAAAGGTCCGCAACATTTAAATAACATTTCAATTGCAATACTTTTATTCATATAATTAACATATTATAACAATTATTTTTTTTACAAACATTTTATATTTCGAAAATAATATCAAAAAGACTTAATTTAAGTTTTTTTTGCTTAATTTGAATCATCTGATGAACCCTTGATTATTACGGTTAAGAATATTCTGTGTATAGAGAGGAGAGAGAGAGAGAGAGAGAGAGAGAGAGAGAGAGAGAGAGAGAGAGAGAGAGAGAGAGAGAGAGAGAGAGAGAGAATTTAATAGTCATTTAGTATTGATTTTTGGATCAATATATAGATATAGTAGTGAATCGTAAAACAAGTGCTGAGGTATATAGAGGGTGAGGGAAGTAAAGTGAATATATTTTGTGAGCCAACGGTGCGATCGATTGCTTCACAAATCTCTAAGTCGTTGTATTTTTTTATACCATCGAAGATATCATACGATTGTCTTTCATTATAGAGCCATAAAATTGTGTGTCGATTGTAATTAATATCTTTAAAAGTTTTAATTAATTTTTATTGTAGTGTTAGTGTTTGGCATAAGCCGTCAAAATGTAAGTAAAGTCATATTTATTTTATGTTTTTAAAAACTGTGTTAATACAATAGATGATATTTATGATATTTTATACAATAGTAAATTTAAAACAATTATTGTATTATCATTTGTTTTAAATATCATAGGCCTATTAATGCTATTTTAATATCAATCTAATTATAGCTATTTTATTAATGTCTATTTTTATTAATATTATTATTGTTTTATATTTATAAATGAATGTTATAAAAAGTTATAATTTTTACTAATAATAAAAAATTAATTTTTATATATAATATTAACTGTCATTTAATGAATAATTATTTTATCATTGAAAACATCAGTATTATTGTCAGTAATAAAAATCTAATGTAAATAATAATAATTTGTTTAAATAGTAAATCAACAAAAATTGAAAGAAAGCCTCAAACCTCTGTTAAGGTGCGAGCGATGCCCGAACAGAGTAATGACTACCGGGTAGTAGTGTTCGGCGCCGGAGGGGTTGGCAAATCTTCAATGGTTTTGAGATTTGTTAAAGGTTTGACATATTTTTACATTTATTCATTTAATTTATATTTACAACTATTATTTTAATACTTTATTATCATTTATTTCTGCTATAAAAACAAATCTAATACAATGGATAGAGATTTCCATACAATTAACATTTTACTGTGTTTTTACTATACTTTTATATTATTTATTAAATAATTTTTAAATAATGTTATTTATTTAAGTTGGTTATTATTTATAATATTCACAAATGCTATTATTATTTAAATGTTGTTTACTGAAATTGTTATAAAATTTTAGTAAATAAACAATTCAAAGCATAGTATTTTATATACCTTATTGTAATTGCAGTAAATTCAATTTTAAGTTAAATTTTAGAAATATTTATTGTATATAACTTTTGAATTTATTAGATTAATTGCCAATAAATATTTTGCAAACAACTAATAAGTTAATAAACAAATTCTAGTTATAAACGATTTAAGATATAAACCTTATATTTTTACAATAATAAATTACTAAAATAAGATTTATATAATTTAAAGACAATAATTGTATTATTGTTAGTTATTTAAAATTGATAAAAATACCATATTATTTAACATTACATGATATCAACAATCAACCAAAAAGACAATTGTTTATAAAATGATAAATGGCTATTAGAGTAAATAATTATTAAATGTATAAATTTATCTTTATTTATGATAAGAGTTGTATGTGTTTATGTTAATGTATAAAATAAACTTAGTATTATTTGTTATAATAATTATAATATCTGACACAATCTCCAATGTATAACAAAATACAAACAAAATTATATGTGATGTAAGGTCAGGCAAATCTTAGTCTTTTAAGTTGTATTTACTTATTAGTCATTGAAATTGAAATAATTTTATAGACAGTTAGTGCAGATCCTTGACATGAAAAATAGTATTCAAGTTTATATACATTTTTATGTATGTATGTGTGTGTGTTTGTGTGTGTGTGTGTGTGTGTGTGTGTGTGTGTGTGTGTGTGTGTGTGTGTGTGTGTGTTTGTGTGTGTKTGTGTGTGTCATGTATTTGATTGTTTGTCTAAATATGTGAAAAACAAGGCTCTAATTCAAGCCGCGTGCCATTGAATCACATGTACTGTACTAACAAAAAGTCATATAAGAAACAAAATGTATGATTAGTTTTATTGTTGTTAGTAATAAAATAATAATTATTAGTATAGTTTTGTGATATACAGTACAAGTCATAAAATACCAATGAATTTAATGTCCAACTTTTTTATATCAATAAGCGATTAATTTAATTAGTAAATGCTTTTTGTAAAATTTTCTGTAATTGAATGTTGTTTTCACTGTTTTCTAACAGCATATAAACTATAATATATTAATGATATGATATCACTACTGTATTTATTTAACATTTGACTACAATTGACTTAAAAGCCACTTCAAAGCAATACACAGTCACATAGACATCACTTTCCTTTAGTTTATAACACAATATAATCAATAAAAATATATAAATTTCTTGAATTTCATTGCCAACAAACTGTTTATATTATAACAAACTTTATTAATATTTTATGATTAAACATTAAAAACCAAATAAATTACTTAATCAAATATATTGCCATATACTATTGCAATATTTCATAATATCTAAAGCTTAATTTAGATAATTTGTTTTTTCTAATTTTTTATTATTATTATTTTCTGTGCCACCATTAACACCATTAAAAATTTTATTAAGTGATTATTATTTATGAAAATAACAAATTATTTCTATTTTCTTATTAAAAATATTGTATAGATTACATTATCGCTAATTATAAATTATAAATTGCTTCTTTTTAAATTGTTTAATTTGTTATAAATTTATTATAAAAATATTTCACTATTTTTATGACTTATTTTTATTTAATCTTTAAGCATTTTTCCGGATCTATTTTTAATTTTTTATATAATTTAAAATTCAAGAATATAAATTTATTAATATTATAATTTTTGTGTTATTGTATTTATAAACTATTATTAGTTTATTTCATTCTATTAATACTTTTAATTAAAATACATGCAACATGTATACATATAATTAAAATTAAATTAAATAATATAAATAAAAGTTTTTAAAAGATATATTAAAATTATTTTTTATTTGAGTTTTTATAATAATTAAAAAACTTAGATAATTAATTTTTTTACATTATTTTGAGTTTAGAAAATATTGAAAAAGATAATTTTCATTAGTAGAGTCTATTGTACAGTATATTTATATGAATTTGTTATCATAAAACATTCAAATAAAACATTTATGATTCAACTTATGAAAGACATTAATATATATATAAATAAATGAGAAAAAATGAAAGAATTATTGATTTTGGTGTGGGTTTTAATGTAAAGTTCATAACGTTATATCTATTATAAATCATATGTCTTATCATTGAATTTGAAACTTTCTCCCCACTCATGAATAATATTTTTATAATAAATTTCTGGATATTTGTGTTACATTTTTTGAATAAACACTCGTCTCTTATTATTATAAAACACATTATAATGTTATGTCTAATTTAGTTATATTTAATGATCACAAAGTAATCTATGAAAATAAATACAATGATTTGTAAAATACACAAAAATGTTGAATAGAAATTAAATTTATTATTTTAGTGACACACTTTTTTATTTTTAATTTAAAATTAATCAATTGTATTTTCTAAAGCAAATATTACACTTAATGCTAAATAAATATATTTAATATAATTGAGTTTTTGTCACTACAGTAATAGCGTTTATATTAGTATTTGTAAATATAGAGCAAAAAATAGAATAGTTTATAAGTGTGTGGGCTATTAATGTAAAAGAGTAAATTCACCATGCTCCAATTCTAGTGATTATTTCAATTTAAAATGGCCTTCAATGATACCAACAAATGTTGGGGGTGGATTAAATAATCTTAAATAATATTATAAATTAACATTAGTTTACTTTTATTCAATTTTTACAATTATTCAAATATAATATATTGTAATAGAAAATAAAACTCAGTTATATACTATATATAATAAGAATATAACGTTACATAAATTATATATTTACACAAATACATTATATACATATAAATTTGTTGAGATTATAATATAAATTTAAAATAAGTCTTATGAGTCATTGTTATTTAATCTTTAATATTCATTTTAATTTAAAAAATAAAAAAGTTTTGCAAAGATATTTAAAGACTATAATAAATAAATATTTATAAAAAATGTATATTTATAGAGTTATTTATTGCTAATTTATTTTTTTCTAAAAATCAAGTTTGTTAACTCATAGTTATAAAAATTATAGTAAATATTTTAATACAAAAAGTTCTGATTATTTTAATAGAGATTAATAATAATTAACAAATGTTTATAATACATGTGTTGATGAGAGTCTAATTTAAGCAGCTTTTAGCTGTCAAAGCAAATAAATTGATAACCGTTTGAAAATAAGGATTATTTGAATACTGAGAGCACTTTATTTTTGTATAATTTATAGTATTATACAATTCCATAGATTTGATTAATTTGATGATTTATTTGAGCATATGATGATTAAACATGGCTAGACGGGACTAAACATAATTAAAGTAAATGTTTAAGATATGTTGATTTATATCAATGTACACGTATATTGTCAATACAATAGTTAGCTTATAAATACTGTATAAAATTTATATTAAATATAAATCATTAGTACTATAAACTGTATATGTAAACGGTGCTAAATCCAGTAGTATTTCACTGTTTTATAAATTATTATAAAATCTTTAAYTTATTATACAGTATATTATTTGTATTTTGTGTATATTATATCTGACTAACTGAAACACAAGTTTGATAACAATATTACTATAGGTTTCATATCAATTGAAATTCAACACATGCTTTAAGAAATTAATAAAAACATATTTCGGGAATAAAATAATAAAGTCAGAGTTCAGTCAATGAATTACATTAAATAAAAATATATGTTTTGCTTAAAAATTGCATTAAATATTCAAACTTTATACTGATGTTGTGATCTCATGATGTCGCAAAAAATAGCAAATTTTAAATTTGATTTTATTAAAAAGTTAATTTTAAATAATCAATGATATAATATCTATTAACTTCAATAACATCTTAAAATTTATTCAGCAATTTTTCAAATTTTTCGGCCAACAACTTTTTCTGTTATAAATCGAAAAACTCTTCGTTTCCCATTTTGACTTCTTCTTGATTTTCGATTTATTTGCCGCCTAGGAAGTGTTACATTGATCGAAACAAATACTAATCTGACAAAGCAATATCTGGTCAATACAATGATTCATCAACGGTTTTAATACATCATATAAATCCGTCAAATTTTAATTGTAAACAAAATATTGGAAAATTTTTATCAACTTTGCCTATTGTTTAGGAGTGAAATCATAAAGTAATTAACTTAATTACAAATATCCTATGTCAATTTAGACTAAATTCCTTTTAATAGTTTATATATCATAGCCGGATATTAATCGAATTTATTTTTAGAAAAACTTAAGATTTATCACCACTAATAGTTTTTATTTTTCGTTTTGAATCTTTGATGATTTTCCCGCGCTTTATTGTTTCCCACGTCAACACCGTTTTCTTTTCATAACTTTCATTAAAGGTGACTAATCATTTTATTAACGGCTTTAAGATAGACATCACTAATATTTATTACCGCCATCGATGGATTAGTTTTGGGACAATATTCAAATTTTATCACAAATCTTATCTGAATGTCATGAGAGTTTAAGCAGTGTAACGGATCCATTTAAAGTGATATAACAAATATTTCTTAGCATACTTAAAGACCAATAATCTATGTTATATTTTATCAAAAAATAAATTTAAAAACATTGCTAGGACTATTACAAAAATAAAATTACTTTTAAAAATATTTTATGCGACAAGAAGAGATCACACTATCAGTATAAATTATTACGTTTTTGAATTAATAAACATTTAGTAAAGGATATTAAATTTTAAAAAGAAATAAATCACATTACATGCTGTACTGCAGTATACATACACTAGTATATTGACAACTATAGTATAACTATAATAATTACAGTAATATAGATACAAAATACTGTATAATAGTATAAGTTATAACATTAGATAACATAATCTATTATTTAGATAATGAATTCAATATATCATTTATTATTATATATCAAAAATAATAATTATTATTATATAACATAAATTTATTAGTATTAGAAATTGTATAAAATTAATGTTTTGCTTATTTCATTGAAAAATTACAGGAATACTAAAGTTATATAATAAGACATGAAATATATATATAAATTGCAAAATAGGATTTACATAAATATGATATGAAATATAATAGATATAAGATATTTGTGAAAAATGATAACATTACTAAACTCTATTGAATTGCTATTAAATGACATATAGGCTAAATCTTACTTAAATATATTACTTTGAATAATTCAATTAACAACACTTTATGTATTGACCTACAAAATCGTAATTTTATTTATTTTTTTTGCAAGATATCTACTGTATTATATATAAAACATACAATTTATTTGTTAATTTATTAGTAAAATTAACAGAATAGTAATACTGTTTAATGATATCAATAATTTTAATGTACATAAAAGTAAGTCACTGATAATAAAAATAATGAAATAATGAGTTTACAATTACTATTCTATTGCTGTTTATGTAAATATTTAATTATTAATGACCAATCACAGTTTTAAATAAATTTATTGATATAATAGTCTGTAAATTAAAATATCTTAAATTACTATTTTAATTAAATTTATAAAGGAAATATCAATCTTAAATTAGTTTTGCAATAATAAAAAACACATGTTTGAAATACACAACATTTAACGTCAAAACAAAATAATTATGATTTTTGTTAACGAAATTAATACTGTATTATACAATATATTTATTATGAATAATATTAAATGTACATAATTTTAGAAAAATATTAGTAAATTTTATTATTAAGTTTAGTGTAAAATATTTTGGATCGTAAATTTCTTTTATTGAGAGCTAAGATATAATAATAAATAAAATAAATAAAAATTTTATTTTATACAGTAATAAAATGTTAAACTATAAAGTAAAGAAATATCTGTATTTAAACTGTTAACAAATATTTTTTAATATAAAATTATAAATTAATTTTAATATAAATAATAGATTATATGTTTGAATATAAAACATTAGATATTTAACAAATAAAATTGATAATTAATGAAATCTGTATTGTACCTAGGCACATTTCGAGATTCCTATATACCAACAATTGAGGACACGTATAGACAAGTGATATCGTGCAATAAAAATGTCTGTACGTTACAGATCACCGATACTACCGGTTCTCATCAATTCCCAGCTATGCAAAGACTTAACATCACTAAAGGACATGCATTTATGTTGGTTTATAGGTATTCAGACATTTATTTCAATTATATTTAATTGAAAACATAATACTTAGATATTATAAATTCAATTATAAAAATATAGTGTTTATGAATTTATAATTAATTTTATCCATTAAATAGTATTACATCCAAACAAAGTTTAGAAGAACTGATACCAACATATCGTGAGATAATTGAGGTAAAAGCGGGAGAAGAGAATCTGCCGATTATGTTAGTCGGAAACAAATGTGATGAAGATGTCAACAGAGAGGTCACCAATGATTACGCCAACGAAATGGTCAGCAAAATACTGAAGGGCTGTGCCTTTATCGAGACGTCAGCCAAAACAGGACACAACGTTCACGAGGCGTTTCAGGTAATATATTATATATCCATTCAACTATTGATTTATTATTATCACAATTTCAATATATAACATATCGATTTACAAATTGTATATAATTTCTAATAATAACATTAATTTTATTAATATTACTCRTGACTGTCGGGATAAAAAAAATAATTATAGACAACAAAAAACAATTATTGATTGTTTTGCCAAACGTTTACGTACTGTATATTTGTTTTTTGATTATAGGAGTTGCTATCACTGGACAARAGTCGAAACATGTCTTTACGTATGGATCTGAAGAAAACGAGATCACAAATAAGGAAAGAGAAATTAAAAGGTCACTGTTCTCTAATGTAGCCATCAATTCATCAATTCTACAATTTTGACTATTTTTTGTGTCTGTGTGTGTCATATATACAAATATAGCCTCAGTTTGTTTGGCCAATCACTTGATCATCATTTTTAAACAAATATGATTTTATTAATTAAATCAATTATTATTATTATTATTATTAAATCTGTTGTATGATCTAGTGATCCAAAAATACAAAGTATTCTAATATTATATTAAAAGATTGAAAGACTAAAACAGTTTTGTGAAGAAAACGATTGAGTCGTTTTCAATATAAAACATAATAAATTATTTTATGCAAAGATTTAGATAATTATAAAACAAGACAATTATAAACGTAGAAAATTTAAAAATTGATATAACTTGTATTGATAACTAAATAAAATCATTTATAATTTAAACTTAATTGTTAACAATACTGTTATTGTTTAGAATAAATTAATTAATTGGTATAACATTAATATATGTTATATTAAATAAGGAAGTGTCAAAAGATTAGGAATGGGATTTAATATGAGTTTTATACAAATAGATTTTGAATAACTAAAAAATGACAAAAACTTTAAAATACAAATTATAAAATAGTTGTATAAAACTTTTTTGATAAATTATTATTAAAACAAAGCTAAATATGTTGAATAATTCATTAGTTAAAATAATGTAAATATTTAATATAAACTAGTTTTTAGATACTTTTAAGATATTATTATAATTTTGAATGATTTGCCTTTAAGATATCAATTTCAAAATTCAACAATTAATTGCAATGTAAGCCTATATATTGTACATTATTTGATTCAAATAATTTGCAAAATTGTTGAATTTTTAATCATTGTCATTATTGTATGACTACTTATATTATCAATTTTATTGAGTCATTAATATTTATTAAGTATATTTTAGTTATACAAACTTTTTGGGCAACTTTAATAAATTTACGAATTTTATAATTTGTAAAAGTAATTGTCATTTGAAAGTAATTACGTATTTGAGTGAAGCCTTTGAAGTTTGCGATCTTCCGACACTTAATTTAAGCTTTTTTTCTAAATATAGTTTTAAATCATTGATATTTGATTAGAATTTGACAATTTTTACATTAGTATTTATCATACACTACATTAATCTTGTAAATAAATTATTACACTTTTACATAAAGTTATCATTTTTAATATATTGTTATTTGTTAACTACTTATCTATTTAAAGCTTTAACATTTAATAATAAAGATTAATTACAATATACTATGTTTTTATAGTTTATCAATTTGTTAATCATGTTTTAAAATTATATTGCAGTTGAAAAGTTGTTTTATATTTATACTGTAAAATTAGTTAAACTAACAAAAAATAGTGAAAAATATTTACTAAAAAATATGGTACTATATAATTAATATTTATATAACAGTTTATATAATTTTTAATTAATTTTAATTGTATTATATATTATTTATAGAACATTACTAATTCATATATTATATAAACATTGTTGTATTCATGTTTGACTGATAACAAACATTTTATTGATTGTAAATAAGAAAGTTATATTTGAATGAATTATAATGAATTTGGCATAAAAACTTGTAATTTAACATTATCATTTTAAATATATATTAAATTAAATAAATTATTAAATAATGTTATAGCTGTCAATTATTATTTACTAAGTCTAATACAAATGTTATTTATTATCATAAACTGTACAGTAGTTAAATAATATGTATTAATAAAATAAGTACAGTTTGAATTTGACTGCTTATGTTAGCGATTATATTATTGAGACTTATAAATGATGTTTTTGATTGATTTGATTGATTATATAAATACTAAATTACTAGAAAAGTATAAAAAATTGTTTTAATTTAATATTTTTGGAAATGCTTTGGAATCTTATTTTTCTTATTATTAGTACTATTATGCCATTAATACCACTGATAGACATGAAATGAGTAAATAATGTCATTTTATATGTTTTTTGTCGATTAAACTATTTATTGGTTTCTCATTTTGTTTTGCTTTTTGTATTTCGGTCTGTTTTCGGTCTATTTTCAAGAAAAGTCCAAACAGTAAAATATAAACTATTATTTAAGTTTCGCTGACATTAATAGCTTATTAGTACATAACAGTCATTGAAAACTAACTTTTATAAAATTCAAGTACACATATAAACTAAATACTGTATAAAACATATAAAAACACAGTATTGTATAAATTAAATGAATAATTATAAGTTTATTAGACTCATTGTTTGATTTAAATTTTAAAGTTATTATAAAATATTTGTTAAATTTGTTACGTTATATACTGTATGTATCATAAAGTTATAATCATATTTTATTTATATTTATTTGATTTAAAACATTTTATATTTGATTTTAAGTTTAAATTGGGACACAAATGTAAATGTTTATGAATAATAGTTTATTAGTTATTTATAAATTATAATATTGTATTTAATAGTATCAACATTAGTACAAATTAAGTAAAATTTTAAAAAATCTATCATCATTAGAGTTGGAGCAATATTCCCATTGAGGGAAGTTCATAATAAAATGTTTCCTCCAATTTTTAGGGAACATATATTATTTCACCTCTTCATCGTTAGGAAGGAAAATATATTTTATATTATTGTTATAAATAGTTCCAAAACTTAAATATTTAGCGTAAAATTTCAGTGAAATATTCAACAAAAAATATATATTTAGTCATACTATTAAAGAATACCACTTAAAATAAAGTAATATAAAAATTATTTTATAATTTGTTATTTTGTATAATAAAATTTGTTATTTAGGGTTCAATATGTGGTAACACTTGTGTTAAATTAGATTCCATTGTTTTATAATCCGAAAGTTCCTTATCTTTCCCGCTCTTTGGGAATTCATAAGGAATTTATTTCCTAGTGTTACACCTATTAAACTCTAAACAATACATTTTGTTATAATGTTTGAAAACTAATATATTAAACTGTATTTTAAGGTCTTATTAAGTATAAACTAAATTTATTGATTTGAAATTGATTTTTAATTATTTTAATAAATACTTTTCAAAATATTAAAGTAATGCAAACGTAAGTTATATGAAGTCGCGTTACCGTAAAGTTCGCGGACTYCACTTAAACGCAAACTACTCACGCAGTTTAGCACATGTTTTAAATAATTATTTTTAATAAGTTGTAAAACTATGGACACAAAAATATCCCTAAAGAGCGCACAATTGGACATTAAAATATATTGAAGATTTCATCGATGGATACCAACATAAAGCAAATATCATTGACGGAAAAGTAAATCGTGTAGTGATTAGTACGTTGCGTTGTAACCGATAATAGTTTTTATTTATAGTTTAGTTCATCGTTACAATTGTCAAAAAACAARTGRCGTATTGAAGAGTTGGTCGATGAGATCAATACCGTAGGGTTTGCTGGWCGTCGTCATCTAAAACAAGTCAAGAAAAAACTTGAAGACCAGAAGATCAAAACCCGAGCAAAAGCAGCCAAAAWTAAAAAATAWAAGTCTGCTATTTGTGGTGATCTTCCGTATGACACAAACCTCGAACAACATGAAGAGGTACTTCTATAACATGAACACTGAATTAGTTTAGAGAATAATGGAAACTAATGGTCTCCTGTTTAGGTGATTACCGATGTCTTCATCGATGGCATCCAATAAAATAAATGACATTTTAATGTCTTCCGTTTGACAGTCAAGGATAGTAACCAATATATGATACTTAAATTAGGTCTGTATAACATATACTTTAAATATTTATTTATATGACAYGTGTTTTCATAAAAAACTTTTCACTTTAAAACTAGTTTTTTACACTTACCTTAACTTATGCGCAAACTTGCGTCTGATTGTTGTTTTGTCATAACCTGGGTTTTAATGAATATAATTATAAGTATAAAACTAAACTTAAATTTATTAAATAACAAAAATAGTTATTGTTATGATTTATTAGTTGTTTTTCAGTAACCTTATATCAAAATAGACACTTTCGGGTCTTAAAGTGAAAAACAGCCACTAATTGAAACAAATTAATAAATTATATTAAATATAATATTTTGATTGTAAAGTTGTTTAGATGTTTGTTTGGTTTTCGGTTTAGTTGCGAAAAATACTAATAAATATAATTATTCCCAATTAATACTTATTTTTAAGTCTAGAGTTTTAATAATTATTATATCATAATATAATTTTGTAATAAATAATTTTATTTTCAACAATTGTAAATTGTACATTTATGATAATTTATTAATAACAACAAAAATATTCATAAAAATTATTAAATATATTTATAAATAAAAATTTCTTAAAATTTATAAGTTTTCATATTTTAAGTCATAATTTAATCCAACGATCAATTGAGTACTCGAGTGCTGATAGCCATCTGTTTGTAATATAATTAAAATTGTATTTTAATGATCATAATTAACAAATGATCTTAAGATCTAAATGTTTGATACCTTTTCTTATCGATGTCTGACTCAGCCATAAGCCATAAGTGTCTGAATTTACTTTCAGAAGGAATCGCTTCAAACGTATTCTTCTTTCCGATTAATACACAGCTCTGAACTTTATAACCGTGGAGTAAGAATACGCCTAAAATATTATAAATTTTTACATTACTTTTAAATATTTTTAAATAATGTATTAAAAAGTGTTTGTTTGTCATTATTGGATCTGGTATTGAGGGTTGTGTTGTGTATTGTCAACAAAAATATAATATTTCTATATATTTATTAATTAATCATTTTTTATGTCTCTCTTATTTCTATTCTCTGTTTCTAAAAAGTAAAAATTGTTTTTAATTTTCAATTAATTTTACAGATTTGTAATGTTTTTGCTGAGAATATAATGTAGTATTTTATTTTCATTATGAAAATGTTTGTTATGGTTTACAAAAAAAAAAAAATTAAACGACATAACAGTTTATTTAGTGTAGAAATATAACTACACTATAACTCTCAATAAAAAAAATTTGTTTAATTGGAGCCATAACTTCAATATAAAGTATTAAAAATGAATATTTAGTTTAGAAAGATGTGGGGGTCAGTAGGGGTGTAAATAATACCGAGTGATGACTTGGCGTCGACTCCAAAATAAATGTAAAGCGCGGCGTCTTTTAGCACAAAATACCGATTTCTCCAACATTTTCTTCTTTGACTAAATATAGCCAAATACCCGCTGCAGTCATTAGGTGTCAAACTTGTGGCACTTCTCGATGTATTTTTTATAGTTAAGCCAATATATGGATCACACTATAAATGGTTTCGATATCAAAATCAAATAGCAATTAACAATTAAAAACAAATAAATTTCAATATTATAGAGTTTTATTACTTTGTGTAATATATCAGCCCTTTGATTGATGGCTAATACCCATTGGTTTACAGTATTGCTGTCTTTAGAAGCAAAATATTTGACACCAGAGCGTAGTTTAACTAATCGGAAGCCAAAGGGATGTTCTCCAGTCAACTCCTGTTCCTCACCAGCAGTATAGCCGTGAAGACTAATTACTCCCAACGGATCCATTTCCTAATATTTAGATTAAACCAAATATTTTACCACATTTTGTATTAAAACTTTTGTATTTTTACAGTTTACATACTTTGGCTGATTTATACCAATAAAGACAGTTATCAGTCTTGAGTACAAACCATCTGTTTCTATAAGTTTTTGAAGTTTTAGAGTCATTATTAAAACGTATTAAATAACCACTCATAACAATCTCATGATTGTTGACATCATTTTCTTCACAATTGAGAGCACTTCTGGTGGAAACCACTTCTAATTTGAGAGTATTAGTGCCCGAATGGGCCAACTTTACAACATCTGAATGCGATGACTCCAATACATTATATCCGTTAATTGTAACCACAATATCTCCAACGTCTAGACCACATGTTTCGGCGGGTGTGTCTGAAATTATATAATATATTATCATTTTTTTTATAAATTTTTAAAAATAATTTTTCAAAACCACTAACTCTTTTCAATAGCTGAGACAACAACGGGTCGACTGCCGTGTATTTTGAAACCAAATTCACTGTTACTTCTGTTAATTATAATCTCCTTTTCTATTTCTATTATTAAATCAATTAAATTAATCAATTTTTAAATATAAAAATAGTTGTTTTTAAATAAATTATTACCAAAAGTATTATTGATAGCTTTTCTATACATTTCAATTGATGCCCTCCTGTGTATCATCCGATGAGTTACTGACTCGTAGTGACGTCTGAAATGTCTTTCAGAAAGTGTGCTTTCATTAGAGTCGGATCTAACCATCTTTTCTTGCGATTCTCTATTGACTTTGTTATTGGTATTTCTCTTATGGCACTTATGGCTCCAAACGACTAATTCATCTTTTCTGGCGACATATAACCAAAGTGAAGATCTATAGCCCTCCACATGAATACCAATAACTTCATCGTCAGCCAAACTGTTGTGATATGTCGTGTCAATTGAATATGATTTAAAATGTTGTAAATGAATAATATCTAACAGATAAACACAATTTTTAATAAAATGACAAAATGTTATAAATAATAAAAAATACTTTTATTTATGGCCAGAGAAGGCACAGAGTGTTCTCCACACTGTTTGCACAGGTATTGACTCCGACCGCATGAATGCGACCGTTCAGGCAATCGGTTGGGCTTTTCGGGGCTTTTACTTAACGAACGGGACCTCCTTTTAGAGATAGATTTCCATTCATCGCATGTAAATATCGGACGATTTAAATCAGAGCATTCAGTCTGTGCTTTCATCAAATGACCTCTTCTTTTACGAACTTATTTATAAAATAAAATAATAGTTTAATTAAAAAAAAAAATCAAATCAAATAAATATTGAATAAATCAAACCAGAGTTTTCAGATATTTGGTTTTTAGTCTCTTGTTTATCATTTTCATCTTTAATTGTTGTTTGAATAATATGTTTATTAGCTGTCAAATAAATGTAGATTATGTTTAATACATTTAGTTCATTAATTGTATATAAAAAATCCATAAAATATATCAAACCTTCAGAAGAAACAATTGATTTATCGACTTCTTTGTTGTCATCATTTAGTAAATGAATTGTCTTTTCTCGTAAATCTTTATCTTCGTTAACAGATTTACATTGATTTTCATCCATTTCTTCTTTTACATTATCGATCATTTTATCAGAAACAACTGATTCATCCATAAAAAATGATTTATTGTTATTATCGTTTAAAATACTGGGAAAACTGCCCGACTTTTCAATTTTAGGTCTTTCAATATTTTCACTTAAAGAGTTTGGTTCAGTTATGTTGCCGTCAATCATAAAACTGCCTGAAAATAAAAAAAATTATATATTATATTAAAAAGATAGAAATAAATTGAATTTAAAGTTAAGCGAAAACCTGATGTCGTGCTTTCGGCAATACTCGGGGTATTAGAGTGCATATCACCCGATTCAGAGATATCTGTCTGATTCAAGTCATTGTTAATATTTGGTGTCTTTTTATCAATAAAAGACATCTGAATACCAGAACCAGAGTCTGAAACGTATGATTTGCCGTTTGTACTCATCTCTTCAGACACTTCAGAAACAGTGGACAACTCTCCGGACATATTTCGGCGCACAATAAAATCACCGCCACTCATGTCATCTATCACTTCTTCGTTGTCATCACTTTGTTGGTCGCATTCCTCAGAAGTCGTATTGTCAGAAGTGATAACAACATCAGTATTGTTATTACTGGAAAGTATTGGTCTTTCTTTTGTAACGTTTATCCTCTGATCTCCCAACAAAAAAGTAGGCTTTGGAGGTATTTTTGGCTTAAGACTGGACTTTATTATATTTTCAATTACAGTCTGAGTTTCAATAGCAGTGGATGTATCAGTTGATAAATCCTGAACTGGTGTGACATCACCGACATCTTCAGAATCAAAATCATCGATATTGTGTTCAGTGCTATAATGTGTCGAAATAGTTGAGTCTGGAGTTAATGTCCTGTCTTTGCCATCATTTGCTTCAATAATCTCTGTGCTTATTATATAATCTTTCAATTGATTTGATGTATTATCCACTTTTGAAATTATCAATGATTTACTTTCAGTGTTGACCTAATTTTAGCAAAACTTTATTTTTAACAAAACAATTAAAACTTAAATAATTTAATTACATTATCACATATATCCAACACTTGTGTGTTATAATCAAGTTCTCTATCAGATCCCCTGTTTTCCATCGATGGCGGAGAACTGTATCGACTGCCAGATGAAGCCGTTTCGTATGATGTCTGACCCGAAACTGTCTTATCAGTTGCTATTTGTGGTGAAGTCTCGTTTGCTGACACATACACAGAACTTCCTCCACTATCAACATTATCAGAGCCTTGAGCTGATAGTTCAGTAGTTAAATATGGCTATAAAAAAATTAATTAATAGTGAATTTTTACTGTCTTTAATGATTTTACATTATAATTACTCTATAATTGAGTTTAGACTATAATTAATTATTTATGTGTTTACATAATATTAAAAACTTTATAAAACATTATTAAAATAAAAATTAATATTTAGCAAATAAATTAATTAGAAAAATAAACTTACCGGTAGTTTAAAAATTAATTAATTAAATTTAAGAAAAAAATATTAAAATATACTTATATTTAAAATTATAAAACAATTACTTATGGTTTTAAAAAAATTATTATTACCGGTAATCAAATTTATTTTAATTTATACCTTAATTTCTGTACCAAAACTGTAGTTATCACTCTCTGGTGAAGTTATACTACTATCCAATGATTTTCTTAAAGAATTTTTTTTCGGATCAATAATTAACGGCCTTTTTGTGACATCAGTGGTCACAATGAAAACTTCGTTAATCTCATCAAACAATTGCTGTTTGTCTTCATTTGTTATTATAGAGTCATTTAATTCAGAGACAACTGTTGTTGAGTCTTGTGATTGAATAGAATGATAGCTATCTATAGAATTGAATTCATTGGTTGTCGAAGACATTTCTGATTCACTCTTAAGTTGATTGGAATCAGTCGATGACTTTGAGCTCAAATCTTCGATTTTAATTGCGGTTTCAAGTCTTGAGCTCTCACTATAACTCGAGTCTAATCTTTGAAAACTTAATTCTTCTAAATTTGTCTGAATGTCTACCGATTGTGTCTTTGGACTTATCTTAGAAATTGAGCGCAACTTTCTTCGATTTTTTTGTTTGCTTTTGTCTACAACTCTTGATTTCGATATCTTTCTTAACTTTTTCTCCTTAATAATAGCAAATAAAATATTTTGTGTGTGTATTATAACAAAACTATACTTACTTTTAAAGATATTTGCAGAATATCTTCCTCTCCGTCTTCGGCATCGCTTTCATAATATTCTGCATACAATTCTTCAGTCGACTCTGGTTTTGTAGATCGCGGAGAAAGTGTTAAATAGTCGGGTATTGTTCGTCTATTTGACCGATGAAAAGGTTTTTCATTGGTTGTGTCAGTTTGTGTCGCCTGTGTTTTCATAACAGCTCTTCGCATAGCTTTTTGATAAAGTGGAAGAATGTCCGACATTCTCGAAGAAGTTGCCAACATTTGCTCAAAAGAGTCCATTGAATCAGTTTTTCTCATCATATGTGTGCCATTTATCTGTTTTTTTGTTATTTAAAAATAAATTAATTCTTTAGATATAAACTTATATAAAATTTATAAATATATATATAAGTAAAATTGGAAATTAAAAATCATAAGAATATAATTAATAAATAGTGAGAATAATTGAAATAATGGTAACAATTATGAAGTACTGTACTTGAATTGACTCATTTACCAGTCTTTCGCTAATGGGTTGCGTCGGTGGAGATGTGTGTATGTTATTAATGCCGCCAACAGTGGCACTCCTTACCAGATGACTGGTCGCAAATGTCACGTGTTTTTTGCTTAGATTACGATTATCATCGCTAGTTATACTCGTTATGTTTGAGCTCTTCCACAGCGAACCATCTGATGATTGTCTGTCATTAAGTTGACCGACACTATAGCTGGTCGTTGTATTGAAATCACTCGTTTCCTGATAACAATAATTATAATGATTAACAAAAATAGATTCAGTTTATTATATAAATTTTTTAAATTATTTTTTAGATTAAATATAACAATAAGTAAAATATTAGCAAAAAATAATAATGGAAAACAATTATTAGAGTTACTAATTTAACATTTAAAAATTAAACATTATATAACCATTTAAGATATAATTAAATTTTTATAAGTTAAATAATGTGTAATAAGTGAATTATGAATATAAAAATATTATACGGTATATACAGTACTAAAATTATTTAAACTTACATTTACTTTAAGGATTCAGAAATAATTTATTAAGTATCTTCTAAGTATTATGTATAATTTATTATATAAAATAATTTCAAGACAGAGTAATTAATTAAAAATAAATAATATTAATTAATTTTTTTGTATTTCTTGTAATTAAACAGTAATAATGATTATTTTATTTGTTTACTTTACTAATTAGAAAATGTTTGTATAGTAAAATTACAGTTACAATATAATTTTTTATATAATAAGATACTTTTAATTTAAAAACTATTGATAAAAACTACTAAAAAATTTATAAAACAATTGCTAAAATATCGGAAACATTTGATTAAAATTTAAAGCTAACATTAAAATGTTAATAATAGGTAATCTTAACAATAAGTTAACAATTGATTGATAAATAATGTACCGAATTATTGATGAGCTGTAGTTCTGTCGGTCTCTTTAGTGGCGAATTTAAATGAGTTTCATAAGAGTAGTCGCTATCAAAACTTCTAAAATTTCTTTCTTTGCCGTAATTGGAGTAAAATTGTGTGTTTTGTCGACTATATAATTGTTTATCACTGGTATTGTTGTGAAAATTAACATTATTATTACAATTACAATTGCTTTGGGTTTGTTTAACAGTTCTGGTAATAGGATGTGTGGATTTAAGACGTTGTTTGAAACCTCCATCACTACTATCCTCTTCATCGATACCTGATTTTGATCTATATTTTTCAAAAAAAGACAAAACAAAAATATTTTTTCATTTAATGAAAAATTAATATTTTATATTTACTTTAGTCCGGAATCAGATTCTTCGTCAAATTCACTCGAGTTTTTGCGTCTTTGAACACATGATAGTAACAGAAATGAGTTTTTGTTACAATGACTATCAGGTAAATGATGTGATGACAGACAACCAAAGAGTCGGGCGGCCGATGAGGTTCTGTCCAAGACATCCAACTCCTTCCTTGTGATGCAATACTGTTCGCGTATGTCTTCCCTCGAGTATATTGGATGTCCTTTTTTATTGCGAAGACCACCGAATGGTATTCCGCGCCTCGATTTCACCATTTCATCGTCGCTGTCATACGTTATCACATCACACGACAGGTTTGCCTATTAAATCATAAATAGTTTTCAATACATTTGTCTATAATTTACAAAATGTTTAGCACATAAGTCATACCTGAGTACAGGCATCGACCAAATCAAATGAAGCAGATTTTTGTGTTGCAAATGCTTCTCGCGATGAACCGACTGATGACAATCGGGTCGATGCAGAAGGAGTGGCACCTAATAGTATTCAATATAATTAACCGTATTTTAATAATTAACTTATAATTGTATTTGAAATGTATTTTTAATAAATCATAAAATATGATAACATTATATTTAATAAAATTTAATTAAAATATGTGTTTCATGTTATATAATACATATTAAATTAACACATTGTTTAGGATATAGTATTTAGCAATGTTTTGATTAAATAAAATGAATGATTGTTTTGTATTTTAAATTAAGTTAATTTAATTTTTAATGCTTAACTGTTTTATCAAATTAACTAAACTTTATCTAAGACAAACATTTAATATTATAATAAAGTTTAAATATTTAATTAATTTTCATTTATGTAATTTATACAAATTTTTAGCATTCATTTATTAATATAATATAACCATAAATAAAATATACTTTACAATCTACTAAATACTTTTAAACTCTTTACAATTTTCATTGTTAGAATTTAAATAATGAATTTCAATGTTTAACAAAATAAATATATTGTATTTTAAAAACATTTTTAAAACCTATATAAATATAAATATTATTATTATTATTATTATTATTATATATATATTATTATATATATATATTTATATAAATAGAGTTTATTATTTTATAGAGTATTCAGTTATAAATGAAAATGTAATTTATATTAAATTTTATTATAATAACTTTAAAACAGACTACAAATAATGAAAGTAACGCTAAAATGATTTTTGTCTTCAAATATTAAATACAAGTTAGCTTTTAGAGCACTGATAGCTTACGATAATATTACATGTTTAACGCAAAGCACACTAATGAGCATTTCTGACTACAACTATAGCTTAGAGTAAGAAATCTTGTATTAGTATAAGTATTATATGTATTATATTAGACACAAAAAGACATGGATTTGCATTCAATCCATTTGTCATCATATATGTAGTAATGTTATGATACCAGTGCTGTCATAACGTATCACAAATCGATGAACATATTGATGACAGATAGAGACTACTTGTCACACACACAGAGGACAAGTCATAAGGACTCGTATTAGTTAAGCAGTCAATCCAATAGTTAAGACCACAAAACCAAAAACTATTGATAACAAACAGTGAATACTTATTTGAAACCAAATACAAGTTTTTTATATTTTTTTCATATACTTTTTTTATTCACTGATATTACTGTTATTTATATTAAAAGACATTTGCATTTATTTTTTATTTTGTAATATAAATATCAATAAATCTTTATATTATTTTATATTTTGTGTGTTTTATGATCTATAAATATCAATACACTTTACAGATGTGTCGTATTTTATATACATAACAATTAAAACTGAAATAAGTGTTTTTTTGCTTAAAATAATAATATTCGATATATTATATTTCAATATATACTTATATTTATTTTATAATACATATATTTTTATCACTCATTTAAATAAATATTTATATTTTTGTATAAAATATTATATCTTATATACAATATATTATAAGATGTTTATATTATAACTTACTGCTAATTACTTTTTAAAAATTTAGAAATTATAAATATACATAAATTGTAATTTATTTTGAAATTGATTACACTATTTATTTAGATTTTTACATAAATATACAAAATTAATGCGATTTCTTATATAATGTTAATTTTATAATAAATATCTGAAAATTCTTAATACAGAAGAAAATATAATTAATGATTATTTTAAATATATAATATTTTAACTTTAATTATATTTTATATCATAATAAACAATTTTATATAAACTATTCATTAGTCTAGTTATATATTACCAATAAATATGAAAGTTTAAAAAATATTCATTTGAAGCTAATGTAAAGTATATCMCAATAGTATTATATACTACTGTATATTAATACATACTAATTTAAAATAAATATTTTTATAGATATACTGTAATTAAGTTTAATTATGTTATATATCTTAAGAATTTTGATATAAAAATATAATAATTAGAATTTGTGTAAAATCTTGACAGACATGTTATGTGATTTTATGTATAAATTTTTTCTGTTATCAGTTTTGATCTGTTAATACTTCAAACAATCAACTCTATAGTGAAAATCATTTGAAATGACTGATAGTTGATATAAAAGATATCAATATTTTCTTAGTATAAAAACTAACTTTTATTCATTTACTTATCATTCACAAAAAATAGAAAATCGCTTAAATTTTGAAAAATAAGGTTTGCAATAAGTTATCGATTTAAAATTTTTGTTTTTTTAGTAAAAACCATAATTTTAAATAATAAAAATATTATATACAAAATTTATATATGCATAACATTTGTTAATAATTTTTTGGCACATCTATACATTTAGATCTATTGTAGTTTTTTGTATAATAATTTCATCTAAATACAATAAATATGTTAGTTTAATTATTATAGTTATTAAAATTATTATATCACAAGCATAACAAGGCATGGCATGAAATATATGGTTTACATAATTGTCAGGTATTTAATGATATAATAGAAAATGTTATATTTGTTAAAATTGGCAAATGTTTTAAAGTTAATTATACTATATTAATAAATTTTTGTTAATTAATTTATTATTAGTAAAATATTTATAATTTTCAAATTATGCTAAAAATAAAGTATATTGTATACAATATATATAATTATGAAAAATTACACTTTAATAAGATATAAAAAAATTATTATAACAATTTCTACAATAAATATTCTAATGTTAAGTAAAAATGAAAAAATTTAACTAAAATAGAGTTAATTTATGTATATTTATGATATACAATATGTATACTTTAATATTGGAAATTAAGCGATACTTAAAATGCTAATTGAAAATTTTGAAAACACATTTTGAAACATGACAATATATATTTTATCAATATCTTAGTTGTTTAAAACTTTGACATCCAATATCTTAAATAACTATGTCTAAGGAGTTATATATATATATATATATCATAGTATTTATTGTTTAATTTGATCAGATCTATGATAATAATAAACAATTTCTATGGAGTTTTGTTTTGATTTTTTCTATTTTTCAAATATTAATTCAAAAATATTGAAAGCTAATTATGTCATCATTTTATATAATGAATTTAAAACTTTAATTAATTTTAAAGTGTATTTTGAAAATAATTAAATTCACTTTATTTTATATAGTGTTTCACAATTTACAGTAAATATGTTAATTTGTATTAAATTATATAAATATTAATTTGGGATTAGTTATTACATTTTAACACAAGCTCTACTTTATTGTAAATACAGTATGACATTAAAAATGCAATATATTATTAAAAAATTATATAAACTTTTTTTACAATTATAATTAATTTAATAAATATATTATAAGCATGTAATCATATTAAGGATATTGCAACATAAATATACTGTAGTATTCAATATTTAGTTTCAGTATATTTTTTAATGTTTATATTTATACAGTAATTGTAAGGCGAGATTAGTTGGCAATGAGAAAACCGGTTATACATTTACACAGCATTTAATGGATATACTGTATATGTTATTAACTACTAGTTATTGTAGCGTTGGTGTCAATATAGCCTAAACCACAATTAAGTACATTTTGAATGTTAACTGTATTTTATGACTGATTTTCATTGTTGATACAACTTGTATGACACAAACCAACAAATACAGTACAATCAGTCAATGTTATACACAATAATGTCATCATTGCTATTATTGAACACATTTATCAAAAATCTATGTCTTTAGTGTTTTTGAGTACATTTATGATAATATAAATGTCATTCAATAATATACAGGCAAAGGAAATATTGAATAAAAATATGAAATCAAATCAAATTTATAACTATTTTGATGTTTTAGAGTTTATATAACATTTTTATATTTAACTTTTTAGTCCAATTATAATTACTTTGTAATCATATACTGTATATAAATAATAAATTGTTTTTAATATATTTGTTATTTTAAGTGTTATAATAATAATGTGTAAATAATAATACTGTGTAATACTAATCATAAATATTGTTTAATAAAAACAAAGGCGTCAAAAATTATTGTTGTAATTATTTTCAGCAAACAATCAGCAAAACAGTAGCTTTAATAGGCTATTAGTAATAGCTGTTTGTAGTAAAAGATATCATATATGATATCGATATGATTTTTATGGGAGATGTTTGCAAAAGTATTAGTTTTCCATAAAATATTCAATATTTAAGGTATAATCATACGAATGATACTATTAATAGTTTATTGACACTACAAATGATTGAAAGTCCAATATTTCTATAATATTTGTGTGCAAACTATTAAATTATTTAATATCATAACCACCCGTTCAATCAAATGTTTGTCTAATCAGTACAGAGCACCGGGACATTAGTGAATACATACAAACAAAATAATTGACATTAAAGAGAAAGAAAGTGAAGTTTAATAATAATATTTTAATTATTTGATTGAAATGACTGATTGTCAGACATTTAAATTGGTATTCATTGGTGACAGTGGTGTCGGCAAAACAAGTCTTGTAGAGCGCACTGTCCGTAACTGTTTCAATGAAAACACCGACTATACGATTGGCGCCGCCTTTCATAAGTACATACTTAAGACTGACGACAATATTAGCGTAACATTCAATATATGGGACACCGCAGGACAGGAACGGTATCGATCATTGGGACCCATCTATTACAGGGGCGCCAATGCGGCTATACTTGTCTATGATATTACCAGTAATGACAGCTTCGACAACATTGCCTTTTGGTTTCGTAACTTGAAATCAGTTTTACCCTCAGATATTGTCACCGCTTTAGTTGGTAAGTGCTTTTCATTACAACTTTTCAAATGATGTAATCTTATATACATAATAATAATAATAAGTTAATAAGTTTATTCAATTGATTACAATTTTAATCTATAAAAATAATGTCAAACTAATGCTATATATCTAAACAATATTGTTGTAATTAAGTCGAAACAACACATAATACCGTTGTTTTTACTTATATTTGAGCAATAAAATAACTAAATAGTTATTTATAAGTTTTTATAGTTGCTAACCTAACAAATAGTTATTTATAGTTATAATAAAATTTCGGAAATACAATATTAAACCGACAAAATAATTTTTTTAGTAAAGTTATTAGTTTTGGGTAATAAACTGTCGGATAGCTTATCATTAATACATTAATGAGACTACAAAATAGTGTATCGAAATTGTTATTATTATAGTCTTTTATTATTAATAATTATTTTGTCCCAATTTTTTTATTATACAAAATACACAATAAACGCAATATTATARAATAGTTTATTATTACTTTTATTATTATTATCAAAAATAATATACAAATATCTTTAGAGTATTGATTGTATTTATATCTTATATACAGTACTATACATGTCTTGTATACGGTATGTCTTTATATGCATTCATTTGAATGCTTAAGTACTTTACTGACTGTCTGTTTGCACATAAATGGTTAACACATGTCGAGTGAATACCAATTGACCAAACAATTGTCAAAACAGACCATAAGTTTGATTTTAAAAAATGTTTACATTTTTACTTTTATACGAATATATTTTTGGTTTTCCTATTCAATGGCTATAATTTATAACTCTTTAAAATCAAATGACACTTAAGATTATGTATTCAAATGTAAAATATGTGAAATTTATGTAATTTTCCTCAATATGATTACATGTATATTAAAAAGGGGTAATAAAATTAATGTCTATTTTATTTTCAGGCAATAAATCAGATTTAGAGCACAGAAGAGATGTTGACTATAAAGAGGCCAAAAGGTTTGCCAACAAATACGGACTGATTTTTATGGAAACGTCGGCCAAAACTGCACTAAATATTGACATTTTGCTCAAAACATTAGCAAAAGAGTTAATTAAACGCAAGAATAATAACGTTTGTGTCAATGATAAAGACATTCAACTGTTAACAAGTAAACAAAATAAGTTAAATATTAGGAAAAAGTGTTGTTAAGCAATGCATTCAATTTGTTTGGATTATACTATCAATTGTTTTGTATATAATGTTGTCATCATTATTGTTGTCGTCATTTCATTCAATGTTAAATAAATATAACATTAACTTATATTAATTATAATAACTAGTCTCTCAAAATATCAGAAAATTTTTTATTGAAAAATATAGTTATTATTGATATTCATATTTCAGAATTAATAATTTTATTTTAATTAAAAATGAGGAATAAACAATATAATTAATATTTTTAAAAATATAATAATAGTTTATCATGATAAATTCTTAATTAAAACCTTTATATACTGTATAATAGTTTTATTTTATATTTATTGTTTTGTAAATTAACAATATATTGTTTTAATTTTAACTCTACCACAAAATTTTTAATTCAATTGTTGTTAGATTTTCTATTAATTTTTGTAATATTATATATTTATAATTCACTTAAATATATCCGTATTAAAATAATACAATAATGTATTATTCATTACTATTTAAATCATGAGATTTTTTGTATATAATACTTTTTATATACTATGTCAAAAGTTTATGTCAAAACTGATAAAAAATTATATAATTTTTATGTTGATTTTATGCAACTTATACTGATAATAATTATATAATAATTATTAATTAATTATAATTACAATTGGAAAAAAATTTAATTAAATAATTTTTATTAGATATATAAAGTTACTACTCTATTATTATTTAATTATAATTATTTTATAGATTATAACTCTAAAATAATTTTTATATAATATTTTGTAAAATATAATATTAAATTGTAACAGAATTGTGTTAAGCGTCATAAATGTAATTAATTAATTAAGCAAGAATTTTTATTTAATTATAATCAGTATAAATAATATTTTAATAAATTTTACTTTATGACATCTACTTTATATATATATATATATATATATATATATATTATACTACAGTATATAAACTGTATATAATTAAAATTTAATATAATAATTATTATACAAGATATATACGGCAGTAATTTCTATAACATATAATTTATTGTATGTTTTATATTTATGTATAGTTTATACTATCTTAGAATAATTGATAGTAGATCACATTAAATTAGAAATAATAATAAAAATAAATATATAAATATAACTACTGTATATGATGTAAATATATGAAGATAAATATTATTATATTTTAGCATTAAACAAATATTTTCTTAATTTACATATCAAAACATTATATTCTACGATAACTATATTACTATATTAGWTATTTATAAACATATATTAAGCTACTTAAGATATACTAACTACTCTAAATAATAAAATTATAACAATTTTTAATATATAAAATATTTTATTTATTAAAACTTATTTATAGTGTATAATTATATTGTTAACAAATATTTAAAAAACATATTCTGTAAGTATTAAACATAATGTATTATTTATGAATTTTTAAACATTTAAAAAAATATTATTTATATTTACAATAATGCTAACAACCAAATATATTATATTTTTAAATATAAATTTGATATTTGTATAACTATATATATATATATATATATTATATCTCTATAAAATAAAACCTAAAATGTCTTAATGAAAATACTTTATTAACCAATTATCCAGATTTTATCATATCATAAGTTTTATAATAATTTCATCATTGAGTACCCACTCACTATTGAATTGTATTGTATTGTATAATATTAATACTTGATATCATATATCATATATAATGAGCCGATTTATAACCATCAAATATTACATTACTTTTAAACATAGAGATTCTATTGACTTATTGAATTCAATTATATATATAGTATTATATTATATTAATATAAATTTGATTTCCAAGACTTATGTTTGGATTATATCAAAAATATTATTAGATTTAATACATTTTTACAATACATACATAATATATTTTTTATATAATAAGTTAATATAAATAGTCATCATATTTCTTATTATTATGTAATATATTTCATGAATTGATTATTAATTTATATATTGATATTAATAATGATATACAAGAAGTTTAATAAAAGTTTAATCCATTTTCTAATCAAATAATGACTTATTATTAAATGGTTTTTCTATCTTTTAACTCTTGTTTAGTCCATTCGTTGTAATCAACATATCTTTTGCCATTAATTGGAGGCAATTTAATGCCATTTTTGATAAAACTTTTATCCCTATTAATTGAGATGAGGTCTTGTGATTTACTTTGAGTTTTATCTTTAGGATTGTTATCCTTTTCGGATAATTGTTTCTTAAGTCTTGTTTGATGACTATTATTTGCGCCCATAGTGTCAGTAATTGACATCTTTGTGATATTGGTTGAAAACTTTATATTATTGTCAACATTAAGTGCTTTAATAGTGTTAACGGTTGCCAAATGTGATCCATTGTCACGTTTATTATTCACTGTATCCTTAAATGTGTTAATTATGGAAACACATTCACAATGGTTTGCCTCACGGGCTAAATCAATAGCACTTTTATTATCATTATTTTTATCATCAATTATTGAGTTGATATCACTTGTGTGATCACTATATATGATATGCTGTAATAACTCACGTAATGTATCCACCTGTCCATACTTTGCGGCCAACATTATGGCATTATTGCCTCCGTTATCGTATAATTTATAATTTGCTTTTGCCTATTGAGAGTAAATTATTGCATTTTTATTATCAAAACTGACATTTTATTATTTAATCATTAAATTAGGTTCTGTTTCACTGATAATAAATGAATTATTATAATCTTTGTGCTAATATTTATTTAATAAATTATTTAATATTAAGCATTGTATGCGCTTAATAATAATTATAATTATTATAGATAAGCAAAAATGGAAATTTCTAAATAAATATGAGAAAATTTCTAGAAAGTTTTAAATAATATCTTCTTATGTTAAATTTGATTTTCTAAATTATTATTATTATTATTTTGATTATAATTAAAAATTCATACGTTTTTATATTTGCTTTATAGTATAAGTGATAGGCTATTGATATAACTGACCATATATTTCATGCTTTGATGGCACTATCTTAAAATCAGACTCGACTCATGTTTTTTTTTGAATATCTAGTAATCCATATTTTAAATATAAAAATGACGACAAGTGGCAATGTTACAGACAATTTTGTAATGAATATATTTATTATTAATCATTTTTTATTTACTTTTATGATCAGCCATATAATAGCATCAAACTCCTTAAAACATGTCTAATGATGCAATTATATGACCAATTATAAAATCATTAGTCGGGAGTCTGATGCGGATCTGATAGTAAGATATTGTCTACTTTGATATGACTGTGCTCTCAATTGCAACTATTATAACAAATATAATTTTAGACTAAACATTGAATAGAAAAATTCATAAAGAAAATCAATATTTTGGTGCGGCTAATAAATAGTATAAATGTATTACCGTATGTTTGCACTTTTTTCCCTACCGAATAATCTTAAAATTTAAAAAAATAAACATTGTTATGGAAACATATATCACATTTATTTCCACCCACTAGGAAAATATGCGTGGGTTTGGGGGTAGAAAACTATTATAATAGGAAACTATATAAAGATATAGTCAATGTCAATAATTGTTAAGATATTTTAAACTTAATTGAATGATGCGGTAATAATAATTATTAATACTGTAATTACTTATAGAAAAATCATCAAATTAAAAGATATCCAACATTTGTGGGCCATTATTTGGTATTACAATARATAAAATTACTATTAAAATTTATTACCAAGAAACTTTCTAGAATTTGTTTTAAAAAGTTAATTAGAAATTTCTATTTGCTCATCTATATTACGATATACATTACTGTATAACAAACAATTGTATTAGTTTTAGTGGTAAAATTAATTATTAATTAAATGATTTATCAACTATATATTTTTAAAATAAATATGTTTATCTATTTTATTTATCTATTAAGTCATAAATAATCATTTTTGTCTAAATAAAAACTCGAAATTTTATTAACTAAATTGTTTGTTGTTTTTAACAAAAAAATATTTTATTAATAACTATTTAATTAAGTTATTATAAAACTGGTAAAACTTACATAAGATAGGAGAAGCTTGACGTAATCAGACTGTCCATTAATAGACGCGTGTATTAATGGTGTCAAACCATAACAATCGCATAAATTTGGATTTGCTTTGTTATCAATTAATAGTTTTGCAAATTTTTCTCTATTATACCAATTATCAAAACCAGTCAAATATATGGAAATCATTATAAGTGGAGTTCGCATACAATTGTCGCGTGCGTTCACATTCCTACCGTTCCCGACCAACAGCTCAACTTGGCTTTCATTACACATATAATTAATCATATTATTTAACGTATATATATTTTTTAATTTTTATGATATAAATATTTTACTAAAATAATTTTAACTGATAATAAATAAATACTTATGTTAAATGAAGTCAATTCATTTTTATAAAGCAAACAATAATCTAAATATACTGTATTTTTAGTGTAAAAAGCAAATAGTAATCTAAATATTAAAAGCATTTTTATTATTGTCACCAAAAAAGCAATAAAATAGCACAATAGGAAATTTTGGAAAAATAAAAATTGTTTTTTATATTTTTGTAAAGTTACTTTTAGTAATCATTTAATAAAGTAACTTTACTTTTATTACTATTTAGATGTAATAAAAAATTTCATCATATAATAGTATATATAATGTTATTCACGAAAATGAATAAAAAAATAAATTGTTTAGATTTTGCTCTAATAATTTGATTAATAAATTTAATATATCAATATAATATTAATATAATAAACAACAATACTGCACTAGAAATTAAAGGAAAATAAATTAAAACATATTTAATAATATTTAATTCTACAATATAATTTTTATAATTTTAGATATTTAATTTTATTGCCAAAAAATAAAAGTAAATTATATTAATAAAAATATCCCATTTTAATATAGAAATACTTTAATATATTATA